TGGTTGACTTGTTATTAATTTTAATCAAACAAGAGTAAGAGCACAAACCATTGTGCACAGGAACAAGAAGAAGTTGCCCAGTACTAAGCACTAATCTGTCTTCTTAACATTAATTTTTCTTCTCTAGATTTTAATTTAATTTCTCAAAAACTTCCTTGACAGGAATACAGGGAGTTTTTCATTAGACATTAACAATTTACACTCCACAGCTGAATCATTGCATTTAGAGCAAACAGATCTATTCTTTAGAAGTAGTTGCATTAGTTGGGAAAGTCATGTTTTTTCCTTCATACTTAATGGTCATATGAGAAGTTGCAACTATACTTATTAAAGGAATACAGAAACAAATCAGCCCATTCCCAGAAACATACTGCACTCCTCCAGAGGATGGACGCCTTGTGCCATCCACCTCAGTAGGGCCTTTCCATTGCCTGAGTCAGGGGAGGGATGCAGCAGTCTACCACTCATGGTAGAAGTTAGCTGCAGCATCTCTGTCAGGAATATCTAGAAATGATGCTCTTCTGTTAGAGCTCCCTAGTGGGTGGTGCCTGATTTCAATCTGTCTCACTACTGCAGATGTTCACATTGATTCCTGGGTTAAAGAAATGTTCCAGACTTCTTTCCTGTAGTTAATCTTTGGCTGTTTGAAATGAGCATGAGGCTGGGGAGTGACTAAGTGCCAGAGCACTTACCTAGCATGCTCAAGGTCCTCGCTATGATCCATCTCCAATAATAGAGCTCAAAAAGAGTTAACATGAAATTATTGAAAAGTGTATAGATATAGATATCTATAAATCCTTTATAGATATCCTATTCCTCATCAAAGTGCCAGTATCAGACTGAGCTCATGTATCATCTTTTGTTCAATGAGTTAGTTTGTCCTAATTATAAATCTTGATTCTCAAGATTATCCAGGCCTGGGCAGTGAGAGGCTCCTTCCTGGTAGTTTCTCTTTACTTTAGCCATGGTCTCATCATTTTTGGAGGACTTTTTGTGTTCCCAACTCAAGGTGGTACAGGGGTTTCTTATCCTAAGATTCCTTTATTGGCAAATAAATCTGGTCACTATGAGTGCGTGTTAGGAGTATGGGCTATTGTGCCTGGGTATGTGTAGATAAGAATGTGTAGATAAGTCTCTCAATCAACCCATCTGTGGACCTCAATATCTATCATCTCCTTATCTATCTGCATGCACACTCTTGTCTATTCCTACATACAATTCTGAGTTTATTCTGATATTTTTGATTCTAGTCAAAATCGTGTTTGTTCTAGTGATGTCCCTTTTTGTTTGGGATACATTCCACCTACAGTGAGAATCCTGGCTCTGATTGTGTCTGGTGCATTGTTTCCCACCAACATTCCCCTGACTGAAAGCAACCTCTTGACATTGGCCTGCCCTCCATTAGACAGCCTCATGGCCACTCGTGAAAGTACCCTGATCCTGGTCTGATACCCCTTGCTAGGACACAACCCACTTTACACACATATATGGATGCTGTGTCAATTGCCTTTTGTCACTGAGAAAAAAAACTGGGGGTAAAACACTTTAGAGGAGGAAAGAGTTATTCTGGGTCATGGTTTCAGTCCATGGTCAGCTGGCTCCAAGGCAGAAGTATCATGGTGTAAGGGCTGGGTGGAGGAAAGCTGCTCAGCCATGGGTCCAGGAAGGTACAAGGAAGGGCTAGGGGCAAAGAAACACCCTCCAGGGCACAGTCTCAGTGACCTCCTCCTTCTCACTAGGTTCTGCCTCCCAAATTTATTTAAATCATTCATTCATCAAATGGATGAGTACCATAATAAGGTCTTCACCCCATGAGACTTTGGGGGACCCTTCATATGTAAACTGTAACAGAAGCCCTCCTCCCATTGCCTATGTCCCCCACCTGCCCACTGGCGCCACACTACAGTGTGTCTTCCTTACTGTGCTCCACATTTGACCTGCACAGGGGCCTGCACTAATACCATCTGCATGAGAGGACACCCTCCTCCCCTTGCTCGAGTGTCCCCGCCATCACCCAGGTGTCCTCTATTGCTGTAGTAGCGTGGAGTGGAGGGTTTTCCAGCCCAGTCCTCTGACACACCTTTCTCCTCACCAAGCATGTGCCCCCAGCCTTGCACCAGCCTCTGGGGTCAGTGTTCTCTTAGGACCTGGGTGAGATTTGGTGACAGAATAAAGACAGGTTAGGAAACAAGGTAGACTCAGGACAGTGGAGCAGCTGGTCCAGCAGACCTTTAATTTCTGAAGCCAAAGCTCAGGTGGAGCTGGGGGAGGGGCACAAGCAATAATGAGAAGATCTCAGGGACCACGTGGCCTGATGGGTGACACAGCCTGCAGACAGGGAGGGAGCTGAGCTTTCAGGTGTGGAAGGGCCAACTCCTGACCTTCGCAGCAAGTTCAGAGGAAGTGTTGGAGCCTTCAGAGTGGAGCCGGACCAGAGCTCAGCTGGGATGAAGGGACAGCACAGGCACATGGCCAATGACCTTCCCCTCCTTACTAACCATGGTGCCTGCCCCTGATATGTTTGTCCCTTTCTGTTGCTCCCTCTTACCCCATTTTGCATTTCTGGCTAGAAACACTGATGATTTTTCATGCCCAGGTCTTCAAGGAGTCAGGTGTAGAGAAAGCCTCTCTGGAGTAAATATTGTGCTCAGGTATAAAAAGGATGAGGTCAGTCACTCCTCCTGCAGGGTGTGGGGCAATGATAGAGCTCATGAACCTTGTCTTAGTTGGAGAGCGAGCAGGAGAAGTGTGTTCTGAACCTTGATGAGACCAAGAGGAACTTGGAACAGGAAGGAGGGGTGGTTCTCTCCTGTGCCTCTCAGGAAACACATTTTCTCTAGGCAAATCTGTGATGCCCTGGCCGATGCTGAGACACCTGGGGACACTTGGCCAGGCCTGAGAGGAGCCTCCCTGCATCTGTGCCCAACTTGTCCAGCCCTGCTGATTTGCATGTGCCCACAGCACAGGCCACTGCTCTGAGAACTTCTTAAGAGGCTGATCACACCCTGTTCAGGAGTCAGTCCCTGTCAGGACACAGCATGGCCCTGAGGGCTCCTGCTCAGCTTCTGGGGCTCCTGCTGCTCTGCCTCCCAGGTAAGGAGGGACAGCACTGGGGATGTGCTCAGACCTATTTCATTAGTGCTGCCTGGTGTTCAGGGATATCCTCTTATGACATTATTAACTGTGTGCATATTTCTTCTTATGTGTTCAATTGTAGGTGTCAAATGTGATATTATAATGACCCAGTCTCCAACCTCCCTGTCTAAATCTCAAGGAGAAACAGTCACCATCAGGTGCCAGGCCAGTCAGGGTATTGGCAATGAATTAAGCTGGTGCCAGCAGAAACCAGGGCAAGCTCCTAAGCTCCTGATCTATTATACCAACCATTTGCAATCTGGGGTCCCCTCGAGGTTCAGTGGCAGTGGATCTGGGACAGATTATTCTCTCACCATCAGCAGCCTGGAGCCTGAAGATTTTGCCACTTATTTCTGTCAACAAGATTACAGTTCCCCTCCCACAGTGACACAGGCCATGACAAATACCTCCCAGAAAGCAGAAGTGTGAGGCTGGGCTGCCCCAGCTGCTTGTCCTGCTGCCTCCACCTGCTGAGGGCACAGCTCACAGGCAGCCAGACTCTGAGGGCCACAGAGAGGTTTTTCTAGTCCTGGACAAGCTCCTCTGCACCCTGTTTCTTTCTCCTTGTCAACCCCAGCACTCAACCATCAGATCAGGCCCACAAGATTTGGTGTCCCTTAAGGTGTGTGTGCCCTGCTCTGTGCAGCAATGCTCCACCAACCAGTGAGTGACAGGAAGCTAAAAGAAGGCCAATCAGGAGAAGCACCATGATGAGTTCTTACCCTGTGGGTGCAGGACCCTGGTGCTGGGTGGGCTCAGTCAAGCTGCCCAGGGAAACAGAATTGGTGTTCAGAGACTGATAAATGCATAGGTGGTCAGTTTTTATGACAGAGATGTTATTACAAAAACTATGAACAAAACTTCTTCAGAGGAAATGTTCTCTATCAGCCCCATGTGCAAACAGTCCTCTAGTATATACAATGGGCTCAACATCAATAATCATTAGAGAGTGAAAGTTGCAACAAAGCAGCAGAAACCTTCAGAAGAAAGGTCATAAAACTGAACCATGAAAAACATGGAGCTCAGCCTGAGGAATGATCTAGAACAGTGTCATGTGTTTGGAAATGTGAAGTGGTACCTGAGTTTTAGACCTGCCCTGACCATGCACGTACCTGTGATCCAGGCTTTCCACTCAGAGCACATGCAGATGTGCACAGATTCCCATGTGCAGGGACCTCACAGCATTATCTGTGATAACTGCAACCTGAATCATCTAAATGCCAATCAAGGGAAGAATGGATAAATAGAAAAAGGGAAGTGCATGTAATGGAATACTATACACCAGTGAAAATGGCCACTGACTTCCAGAACCCTGCAAGAGTACGAAAGAGCTAGATACACCACAGCTCATTACCCATGATTCTATTTTTATGAGGATCAATAACTGGCAAAATTTGATAATTGCTTAAAGATAGGTTACAAATTGCATGGGTAAAAGGGGGGGTTAATGACTGGTTATTCTTCCTTGAGACTCTTTTTCCTAGTATTTTGCAGACATTATTATCTTTCCTCCTGCCTGCATGTTTCTTCTGAGAATCTCCTGATAGCCATATGGAGGTTCCCTTGGATGTTGTGAGTTCCTTTTCTCTTGTGGCTTTCAAAACTATCTCTGTAAATTTTCATATTTTGTTTATATTATATTTTAGTGTGAACATCTTTAGGTTAGTCCTACTTGAGACCTTCAAGCATAGTTAACCTGAATGTCCATATTCCTCCTATCATCTGGGAAATTTTCAAGAATTATTACTTTTAACAATTACATCCTCATTAAATGTCTCCTATTTTATGGAATATATATATATATATATATATATATATATATATATATGGCATTTGTTGGTTTTTTTGAACCTGTTCAATACATCCAGTACATTTTATCCATGCCATTTGTTTCTTTTTCTTTATTCTTTTATGAGTGGATACTTTCACACACTCTAATTCACAGCTGCTTTCTTCTCCAAGGTGGAGTCTGCTGTTGAGCTCTCTGTAGCATTTTCTATCTCATTCAGTATCTTCTTCAGCTCTAGAATTTCTGTTTGAAGGGAAAATAAATACAGCAATAAAATTTTGTATGTAGCAAGATTGATTTATAGATGTCAGAATAAAAGTGAGTTTCAGCAGCCTGGAATGTTTTGAGGCATGCCAAGGCAGGAGTGTGGATGGTGTGTGTGGTCACTACTTAGACATGTGTCTTTCTTACTTTGCATATTTTTTTTCAGTGTTGGGCATGAAATCCAGGGCCTCATGCATCCCAGGCAACACTCTACCACTGAGCTAAACCCAGATCTTGGCTCATAACTGAAACTCCAGGAATGTGGCTGGACTTAGATTTCATGGATCCGTCCTACCTATATCTTGAGCAATTAGACAAATCAAGAGAGGAGAGACAATCTGGCCATGTCCTGCAAGTATCCTAGAGAAGGACCATGACAGTGGGGTGGGGAGAGGAAGAAGGAAGAGAATCTGACATGTAGGCCTTAACTATGGAGCAACAGAGAGTCAGAGACCTGGGATCCAATGAGAAATCCCCTCAGCACAGCCCTCAGGTTCCCAACAATTAGAGAGGATTTTATTTATTCACATCCCACTGAGCTGAGATAAAGAAACAAGAAGCCCCATCTTAAAGCATCTGAAGAGATATACTCAGAGTATATAAAATACTTCTTTCAAGGCAATAAAGTGCCCCAAACAAAACAAGATGCTCCAAAGACAGAACCCCTGATACCACAGTAGAATCAATGTCCAAGAAGGAGTTCAGATTGCACAGAGGAAATGTGATCTGTGAAGTAAGGGATAGTGTAAGGAGTGAAAACAAAGTAGATATACAGAAAGTGAAAGATCACTTCAGTAAACAGAGATTGTGAGAAAAATACAAGCAGAAATCCTCAAAATGAAGAAAACAATTAACCAAAAGTTAGAATTCAAAAGAAGGCACCACCAACACAGAGACCAGTTGGAAGAATGAGCCTCAGACAATGAAGACAAAATATAATGTCTTGAAAGTAGAGTGGAGAATTTCCCAGATTTTTTATTTTCTTTGCATTAATCATTTCTTTATGATTGTTTTTTACTCATGGTAACTTGTTAATTATACATGAGTTTATAATCTTGCAGGGAATGTTACCCAACATTTCTTTAAGAAAATATTACAAATCTATGTTTCAGGTTGAGTGTGGAGAAGAGAACCCAGCTGACCTGGGCAGTGGCATGGAACCTCCTGGACAGATAGGACAGGAGCTGAGCTTTGGACCCCAGGCTGGGATTCTCCCTGGACGTGTGCTGTGCTCAGGGAGAGGAAAGCGGCTAGGTCAGAAAGCAGAGGACACCTCCCCCATTCCCAGGGGACTCTCCCAGGACCCTGCGTGCTGTGTTTTCTGTGGCCAGTGGAGGGCACTTGGGCTCCACTGCATCTCCTGCTGACCTTCCCAGCCCAGCTCTGCCTTTGGGTCAACATCATATTCACCTTGTCCATAATGGCTCTCCTGAGTGACCATCTCCCTCCAGTCATGCCCAGGCATCTGAGGTGGGCAGATGCCCTCAGGTCCCCACCCTTGGGCAGAATGGGAACCCCAATGTTCACTCTCCTTCATATTCTCCTTCCTCACCACTTCTGTCCTCACCAGGGGTCCAGAGCATCAGCAGCCCTGGTGGACTGACTAGAAAACTGTGAGGTGTCCTGAGGGGCATCTAGCCAGGATCTTTAGGAGTCACTGAGGCAGTAGAGACCCAGAGTCGCAGGTCCCCAGGGACAAACTTCCACCCTCTGGGAGAATAATGAGTGACTTTTCCAACTCTGATCCTTCCCCACATAGACTCAGGCTGTGGAGGGGTTCCAGGCAGTGTGACTAGAGTCTGTGTCATCCCTATACCTCTGCTGAATCCTGTAACTGTGGGGACCACTTTGAGTGACTATGCCTCCCAGTTCTGATGCACCATGGGGACCTGAAAGAGCACTGTGTATGGCAGGGTAGTGCCATGACTCCTGACTTGGTCTTTTTTCTTTGTGGGGCATGCCCCTAGGATTGAGTTACCCTCACCTGTTTCTTTTGTAATCCTGCCCTTTGCTGTTAGGGATAGAAGGTTCCATGGAAACTCCCTTTGGTGTCCCCTTCTCTTGCTTTGCCTTTGGATGTGGACTTCCTAGATGTCAGTCAATCTGCTGACAGCAGACACCACAAAGCTGACTCTACCCCCTGAATCCTGACCCCTTGCCTCATTTGAATGGTTTCTTCCCAAAAAAGCATTCAGCACTTGCTCCTCTCTCTCATTCCAGGGACCCCTAAGGACAGAGGAGCCACCACAGGACCCAAATAAAAGGTATTAGCCTGTCTTTTTGTGGGTATTTTCTGCAGCCCAGTTCATCTGGAGTGACCTTGAGTGTTTAGCTGTGGAATGTGTCATGTAATAATAAGAGAAATGCAAGATCTTATGCAAAATTAATAAGTTAATTTCATGAAGTTCCTCTTATTAGTTATTGCAGGCAAAGTCATTTCTCTGTTTAATTTGTTTGTTTGTTTTATTAGGTTTGTATTTGAATTTCACACAAAACAGCTTTTGGAGGGACCTCTAGCATTTCACTTCATCTCTTCACTAACTTGGCCAAGTCCTGCCCAGGACAGGTCCTGCTCCCTCTGCAGTGCCCATGCTCATCCTGCCTGCTCATTCAGAAGGTCCCTGGACACTTCTGTGCTTATCCTCCACATGCCAGGCCAGGCTGCTGCAGCTGACAGGGCCACTCATGGGTGTGGCCTGAGCTATGACCCAGGCAGTCATGGTCCACAGCCCTCAGCTGCACCTGTTCCCTGAGTTCCCAGCACCTTCCTCTCACAGGGCAGAAAATCTGCTGAGCTGCTGCCCAGAGGAGCAGCTCATATGGCAGCTGTGCCACCCAGGCAGGGAGGTTTTTGTTCAGGGCTGCACCACTGTGAGAGGAGCTTGTATACCTTGCCAGCAGTAATACACCCCAGCATCCTCAGGCTCCACCCTGCTGATTCTCAGTGTGAAATCTGTCCGTGACCCACTGCCACTGAACCTGTCTGGGACCCCAGTGTAGCGGTTGGATACAAGATATATTAGACCCCGTGGAGCCTGGCCTGGCTTGTGCACAACCCAGTGCAAATATGTGTTTCCATTACTGTGTAGGAGGCTCTGACTGGACCTGCAGGAGATGGAGGCTGGCTGTCCAGGGGTGACGGGCTCAGAGAGAGGAGTCTGGGTCATCACAATATCCCCACTGGTTCCTGTAAAAATCACAGAATAATGCAAGATTATATATAAACTTTAAGAAAACATTTTGCACTTTTTCTTTTTGGTATATTTCACAGTAAATTAATTTTTGTTTTTGATTTATACACTAAAACTATTTATATACATAAAGAACTCTGATTGAGTAAGCTCTAAAAGCTTCTCTAGAATTCCCTTTAACATCCCCCTCTTATTATGTGACAACTTTCATTAGAGTCAGTTCCTTGCACCTTCTGGAATACACTCTCACATCAGTTGACCTCAGCTGCCTCATCCTGGAGGATACACCTGCACATCCCTTATGTGGACACAGCACACATGGGAATAATGGGGGTCCCTGGCTCACCTCCCTCCCCCTTCTCCTTCCCCATCCCCTCTGTCCTCACCAGGGATCCAGAGGAATAACAGCCCCAGGAGCTGAGCAGGGAGCCTCATTTTGAGAAGCTGAGTTGAGGAGATCTGATGAGTCAAAGGTAGGTTAGAGCTGAGCTTTTATGTCTGACTTGCAGGAAGGTCCTCCCCAGGGAGCAGCATGCAAATGCCCTGGTGGGTGCTGGGTGGGGAGAGTGAGTGAGGGAGGGGCTTCCTTTTGAGCCCAGGGACATCAGATGTCTTCTATATTTGGAAGAAATAGAGCAGAGGGTGCCTGTGGTGTGGGCAGAAGGCCTCAATATGGGAGCCCCACTCTGTGAGGGGTCATGGTGCCCAAGGCCTGCCCTCCTAAGGCACCACAGAAGCACAGATAGGGAGGGGGCCTGGAGGTGAGCCTCTGTGAGGAAATGACCATCCTGCTGTCTTCCTCTCAGCTGAGAAGAGAAGGTGACAAGTGCCATCTCACAAGTGTTGACGTTCGAAATTTCTTCCAGCCACAGCATGATGTTGAAGAAGTTCAAGAGCTTCTGGTGTCTGATGTTACCTGGAGAAATACAAGTGCATCAGGGAAAGTGTAGATGACACCTTTTCCTAGCCCAGTGAATGAAATAAGAGCAGCAGTGTGACAAGAAGCTGGTGGGAAGAGAATTCATGTTTCAGCTGAAGAACAAGTAGCCCTGCTCAAGGAAGGAGGACAAGGAGCATGTCCCCTGAGGTAGTCAATGTGAAGCTCCTGGGGCAAGGTCTTTAACTGGTGGCCATTCTTTCCTAGTCATCTCCATGCATTTGACACTCAGAGCCAACAAACATTCCCCAGGAGATGGACACCTGAGCCCATGGGATAGTGTGGATAAAGAGGATTCTGCATTAGTTCCTTCTCATAGATGATAGAGACATCCCTCCTCATGTGCTCCTCCTTGTCAGGGACACTAGGGAGCAGATGCCACCACCCTGGGTTTTAAAGTAGATTCCCTAGGTCAGAACTGCACCCAGGCACTCTCCCCATATTCAGGGGTTCCATGTGCACTATTGTTCTCCTGGGACTTGCCCCAAGGTGTCTTGGGGAGAAGGTCCTTTTCCCTGCACAGGGACATTGATTTCAGTCCTCCTCCTCCACAGGTGGGACAGAGGGAGCCTGTATTGTGTTGGCCAACATGGCTGTGATGTTTTCTTCCCATCCCAGGACCTCTGGCACAGCCTTTCCACTGTGTGGAATGTGGGCCACCAGCAGCCAAGGACCCTGCCATGTGTCTCTTAGTTTAACTGAACCTCTGTGGCTGTCCTGCCCTGAGTGGGCAGCATCCTCTGAGCCTGTGAAACATGCCTGTTTGCAGTTTCCCCAGGCTGCGGTCTTCCTGTGCTTTTTCTGAATGAGCAGAAGGAAAGGAAATGAAGGAGAATGGTTTGGAACTCACTGAGTAGGAACAGGAAAAGTGCAGGGTCTCAGAAAGTTCCAGAGCACAGAACCCCTTGTGAGAAAGTGTTGGGCAGATCACGCCTCTGTCTTCTCCTTGCCCTAGGACGTCCTCAGGGTGTTTCCTGGGAGATCTCATGATGGGCCTGAGCCATTTCAGGTGCAGTTTAGATCTGTTTATCTCAACTGATTTCCATAGTTTATACCTGAATTACTTGTAAAGATATTTTCTAGGTAAGTAGATTTCCCTTTTCCATGACTCTACTTCAGTGCCCTGTTTACTATTGTAAATGCTTCTATTGGTGCATTGGAGTTCTGCAAAACAGATGGTTCCCTGGGCACAAACTGCTGTCGTGGGATACACTGTGCTCCATCTTAGACTCTGGTGCCCTCTTTCCCTTTCTTCCATCCCCACTCCCCTCCCTCTTCTCTCCTGTCCTCCTTCTGTTTATTCATCTGCTCCTTTGTCATTGGTGGGCTCTAGAACTCTGTGGAGCTGGGCTCACTGCTGTGCTGTGGTGTCTGTGCCCAAGCACATGGTGTCATGTGGTGCATTCCTTCCACATTTCCTCTCTGTCCCAGTCCCGTGACCCCCATCTCTGTCTCCTTTGCCATTTGTTGTCCTTCTCTCCTTATGATACCTTACCCGCATTTCCTCTTCCTTTGCTCTAGCTTTTGCACAGGAGGGTGACATGGGATCCTCACCTTCCAGAGTCTGGCTCTTTCACTTTTCATGATGTTATCCACTTCCATCCATTTACCAGAAAATGCCACCATTTCCTTCTTCTTTAAGAACTGGAGTTCAGTCTGGATTGTGTGGGTGTGGACAGATCAGGAGGATCTCTGTGGCATAAGAAGGCAGAACCTTACCACATTGCAGAGAGACCAAAGAGCTCTCAGTCATGAGCCATGTGGGACAATTGTTTCTTGTGTTTAGTTTTCTGATCCTTCTAATGAGATATGGCAGTGTGATGTTTCTCCTAGTTTTCTGTGGCTGAGCAACAAATTCCCACCTATTGAGCAGTGTGTTCCTCCACAGGCCTGTCCCTCAGGAGTCCCCGCTGGGTCCTCAGCTCAGCCTGAGAAGACTGAAATTGACCAGCCAATGGGCAGCTCTCCTTGCTGAAGTTCAGGGTCTTCATCCAGGTCCAGTGGCTGAGGCAGAATCATTTTTCTACAGTTGTAGGGTGAGGTCCTAATTTCCCTGTGGCCATCAGCACAAAGTTCCTGGAAGCTGCCCTAATTGTTTGAAGTGTGGCTCCTGCTGCCTCAAAGAGCAGCATTAGAGCATCTCCTCACATCCAGTCTTAATGGCCTGAGATCCTCCTTCTACTGCCTCCATGTGCAGACTGACGGGATTCAATGATGGAGACAGATCTAGTGTGTACTCTCTCCCTCTCTTAAATTCAACTAGTTTGGTTATGTCTTCAAGATCCTTCATAAATTTTTTTTTTTAAATCCTGTTTGAATACTGGGGAGTGGAATGGTACAAGGCTGGGGTTTGGGGTGAATAAGTTAGAATCCTGTCCACATACTACCATTTTTTTTTCACTTACCATAATGACTGGATCCCTGTTGGACATTCAGAAGTGGGTGCAGATTGGAGGAATCAGTTTTAATAAGACCAGGTGATTCCAGGTAAGCAGAGGATAAAGAGGTAAACTGCAGTTGGTACAGGAATGACAATGGCTTCCCCTGTCTTCCTTTGTGTCAGCTTCACCAGGCACTAAGTATTCAGGAACACATGGTCTGCTTCTCCCCTTGACCCACAGGTGCTCACTGCCCTCAACAGAGGCCTCAGGCTCTCTGGCAGAGCTCCATGGCCTCCCAGCCTGGGCCCTGTCTTCCTCCACACACTGACTCTGTGTCTTCCTTCCATAGGACCAGCCCGTCCCTCTCCCAGCCCTGAGCAAGGCTGGTGTGCAGCCTGGGAACATGGGGACAGGATAAGAGTGACCTCCCTGGCTATACTCCCAGGCATCAGTCTTGGTCAATTCACCTATGGATTCCCACCTTAGACCTGCAGACTTGTAGTCCTTTCATGATATTTCAGAGCCTCCTGGATTCCTCCTGGTACCCCATGCTGATATCGTAATGGAAACCAGACACCTGGCCTTCCTGTAGGCAGGCTGGTGGCTTCCTCTGGTCCCCAGGTTTCTTCCCAGCTGGAGGAGGCATGGGGTGTCCCATGCAGCACCCACCCAGAGAGGATTAGAATCTTGGCTCTGTCTTCACGATTGTGTGTGACATCAGGTTAGTTTCTTCACTTTCCCCGCATCTCAGTTTCTCATTAGCAATGTGGGAATAATAACATATATCTTAGAAAGTTGCCTGAGGATTCACTAAAATAGCATATGTGAATATTGTGTACTTTAGTATCTGCGAACATACTACATTCTTAGTTATCACTAATTTTTATTGTTTAGATCAATTTTCCTGGGAAACAAATGTACAGAGGGGTTGATGATCAATGAGTTTCCATATTCTTCTGTTTCACACAGGAACTAGTATCTTCTTAATACAATAAAGCAGCTGAACTTGGGGGTGCATCCTTGGGATCCCAGTGACTTAGAGTGCTGAGGCAGAAGGATTGCAAGTTAAAGGCCAGCCTGGGCCACTTTGCAGGACTTTTATCAAAATAAACATAAATAACCAAACCCAGATACCTGTCACATTCTCCCCTGGATAACTCTTGGGTGGTTTCTCACTAAGCTTAGAATCTTATTTTTCTTGTCCTAGGGAGACACCTGTGGTCCCCACACTTGGTATGTGGGTTTGGAGCCCCACGGGCACTCTGTTACCCTGTTGCATAGATCTCAGCCCATGAAGAGAGCCACTGCCCTGGTGAAGGTGGGCCTGGCATTCCCCCCGCCCCATGCAGTTTTCCCTGCAGTTCTGGAGATCCAACCAGAGTCACCCACATAGTAAGTAGCCCACACCTGCCAACTGCACCTCAGAACTCAGACGTAGGTGAGCTCTCATGGTGGTTTCGGTGACCACCCTGACCCCTGTTGCTGCCTGGTGGTATTTCTTAGCAGGCCCCTCTCCCTGGAGCTCTCTACCTGGGCCCCCTCTCTGACCTGCCCATGTGCTGAGTCCTTCTCTATCAAGAGTTCTGCCTACACTTGCAGAAACTGCTGCTACCTCCCTTCCTCTGGTTTTCTGTAGCTCCGGACCTGCTCAGAGCCCTGAAGCTATCTCCTGAGGAGTCTGGGTGGTGGGCCTTTATCCTCCAGCTTCTCTTCTGCAGGGAGCTGGAAGCCCTGACCCTTCCATATGGAGGGCTCTGTTCCCAGGCCAGTCCCCTCTGCATGAAGACAGGGGTCCCTGGTGTTTAGAAGTCACCTGTGCTCCTGGCCTCCTAGCTGTTGCATGGAGTAGGCCAAAGCTAAGGATGCATTGGCCCTGGAGGGCAAGTTTAACAAGCTCCCCAGTTTTTGGATGTGCATGAATCATATATAAATGCAATAATAAAGAAAACTAAATGAATGTAAATACACTTCAGTATTAAATAAAGTGAGAATTAAAAAAACAAACACATGATCTATCTTGAACATAAAGACACAAATAGGGAAAGGTTTGTGTTGTGGCATTTTTGATTTTTAAGGATACTTCCACGTGTGGATTATCTTTTATTCTATCTATCTATCTATCTATCTATCTATCTATCTATCTATCTATCTATTTAGTTTTGTCACCAGTTGGAGATGCAAGGGGTTGAGAGAGGAGTGGTAAGCTGGTATTTAAGGACCATCTCAGCAGGGGACTGCATAGCTTCTGCAGTGCGTAGAGCCACCTGTGTGTGTTGCTGTCTGCTGTGGGCTGTGAGGAGTGTCTCCCATGTGGGCAGAGCACTAGGGGTCCCTTTGGATGAACCAAGTCCAGGTCCTGAAACACACAGGTTCTGTTCCAGTCTGTTTCTCACATGTAGAATGCAGACAAAGGACAGGCGAGGGGTCTGACTCTTCATATCCTGATATTCTGAGATGCTGAAGCAGCTCTGAGTCATTGGCCCCTCATTACAGGAAGTCCAAACAAGAGGAAGGCAAAGGGCCCTGAAAAAGGAGAGACCTTCAGGGGACAGGGCAAAGTGTGGGCTGGCCAGCAGAGGGCAACAGTGAGCACTCTCCTTTCAAGGTCCCCCTTCAGATCTTGCTGCTGTTCAGGGACCCTGCATAAGAAGGTGTCTGCTCCATTTCTGGAAAATTAGGGAGAGCTGAAGAGTGCAGGGGACACTGGGCATTGCTCCTTGTGGGGTCAGGAGGCTACTGTAGACTCTGGTCTTGCTGCTCATTTGCAGGAGATATTTTTATGGCTCTTCTCATATTAGGGTGGGCAAAGCTGTAGCTCACTAGGTGGTGTGAGCCTGGGCACCGTGAAGCCACCTGACCTCAGGGAGCATCTCTCTGCAGTGACCTCTTACTTGGAAGTGTCAAGAAGAAGAGATAAGTTTAAGTTCACACACAGACAGGATAATAGGTGCAAATTTTGTTACTTGTGATGAGAAAAAGACAAAGTTTACAAGCTGAGGTTCAAACTGTTCCAAGAGACAACAGTGGGGATAGGAAGATATTTGTTCACTTCACAATTATCCTAGATGACAAAAGAAGTCCCATCTTGAAGGAGCTCATGAAATAAGTTCAGAGTATTTGGAAAGGTGTATGTTGGCTATCTTTGATCCTGCTGTTTATTGGATCTGGACTCTGTACTGGAGAAGGAGGATGGGACACCTGGTTTGACTTGACACCTGGTTTTGGCCTTAGCTCGTCCTGAACTCAGTGAATAACCTGGTTAGACACATCTGCTCTGCCCTCTTCCCTTGTCCCCTGGCATAAGAGTTGGGTTCTGAACTTCTCTCTGGGTGTGAGTGTCTGCCCATTTGATGAACAGGTGGGCGATCTGTCTTCCTGGAGCTGCAGAACATCATTGTGGAGAGCAGAGGGCTTAGGACTCTGTGGACACAGAGGTTGCTCACCTTCAGGTAAGTTCCTCTCACTGAATCCAGCGCTAGGATGTTCCACTTCTTGCCCACCAGAGGGCGATATGAACCTGGAAGTATACTCACCATAACCTCAGCCCTGGAGAGGCTGATCTATATTTTAAGCATAAATTTAATTTTACATTTTTATCTGTTAAGACAGAATAATTATAGGAACTGAGTGAGACATCGTGGTCTCTTACTGCTGTCACTCAGGTTGTGTTTTGTGCATTCATAGCACTCAGAATGGAGGTCACCACTATGATTGTCATAGCTGGGACCACAGCATATTGTTAAGGCTTTGTGCTCCTGGGCCAGCCAGGGTTGCTCCACAGAATCATGTGGGGACCCAGGTTAGGGAGACTCCATCCCCATGTGTGCACCATGTGGAGCCCATGGCCTCCTCCCTCTTCTCCTGTGGTAGAGGAGGCCTGGAATGTGATTGACTTATTGAACATTATTATTTTTTTTAATTTCATTTTATTTTTATTTTTTTAAATTAAATTTTCTTTTTTTTCTTTTTAAATTTTTAATTCTTTCTTTCTTTCTTTCTTTCTTTTTAGTCATACATGACAGCAGAATGAATTTTGACATATAATACATACATGGAATATACATACATGAACATTATTTTTATCTGTTAAAGAAAACTGTTTTCACCCCAAAAAATCACTCTTTAACAAGGCAAATCATGAAAGAGAAAAACAAAAGACAGTCTTTATTTTACAGAGATAAGTCATCTCATTAGCACTCTTACACTTCATGGACAATTCAGGAACTATTCAATACTTCCATCCATAGACCTTCTTTCTGTGATGCTAACATTTTGTAAGGAGCATGCATGTTTTCATTACCCAGTGAAACAACATTACTTTGTGGGGCCAATAGACAATACAGCTTTCCATCACTTTTTTTTTAACTTCTTACTGTTTCTCTGAATGAGTTGGATAATTTTGTGTAAAATATTGCCTCAACCCAGCAGCTAAGCTATTAGCATTTTATCCTCCTACAACCCTGTCTTTCTGAAAGTGAGGAATCAGGCCGTGTCTTTCTGTGTGGCCCTGGCTCAGGGTTGGTCTTGAGCATGTTGTGGGATGTTGGTCAGTGGTGGAGCAGGTGCCTCCTGGGCAGAAGCTCTGGTTTCCATTCCCACAGCCAGAGAAATGACTTTTTCCACTGTATGAAGCAGTATAATTTTTAATTATATTTATTTCCTTTTTTTTCTGCTAACACAGTGCTTTTCAAACTCTCCAGGTTTATGTACATCTCAATCTGTACAAGGTACTCACCCTCGTTTGTGCAGCCAATATTAGTGCACATTCACCAACTAATCCATGCCGTCCTGTATTTGCCTTTTACACACCTCCATGTCTCTCTGAGTGATTGCTCCTCTGTGAGCAGCATCTTCAGTGGTTTCTCCAATGCAAGGGCAACTAACTCTCTGGTTTTAATCACAGTTTCCTTTTACTACAATTGCTTCTTTCACCTTCCTGGGATTCCAAATATTTTTTTAAAATTACTTATCCACAACATTCTTTTAAAATTTAAAAAATTGTGAATTATTTTTCATCCACATAAATAAATATTCGCATATAAATTTAATACTCATCACAAATAGGACCTTGGGATTTCAGTTACATTCACCAGGAGCTCTATTATCTAGGAATCACCTTCATCACCATGGCACAAACTTCCACCCTCTTGGTGACATATGAGTGACTTTTCCAACTCTGATCCTTTCAAAGATGAAGGCAGGGAGTCAAGGGTGTCAGGCAGGAAGAGTGGAAACTGCATCCTCACCGTATCCCTGCTGGACACTGGAATAATAAGAGAGAAATACCAGTTTGAGTGCCCAATTAATAAGCAATTTCCATCATTTTCCTTTCATAAGTTCTTACAGACTTTGTAATTTTTGTGTTTGTGATTAGATTTAAATCCCAATTTCACACACAAAAAAACAGCATTTGTAAGCACGAGGGTACTGTAGAAGGTCCTACACCATCCCTGTGCCAGAGTCCTGCCCAGGCCCCAGGTCCTGCTTCTTCTGCAGTGCACACACTCATCCTGTCTGCTCATTCAGAAGGTCCCTGGACACTTCTGTGCTTGTCCTCCACATGCCAGGCCAGGCAGCTGCAGCTGACAGCGCCACTCATGGGTGTGGCCTGAGCTGTGGCCCAGGTAGTCACGGTCCACAGCCGTCAGCTACACGTGTTCCCTGAGTTCCCAACACCTTCCTCTCACAGGTCAGAGAATCTGCTGAGCTGCTGCCCAGACCAGCAGCTCTTGTGTCAGCTGGGCCACCCAGGCAGGGAGGTTTTTGTTCGGGGCTGTACCACTGTGGAAGGAGCATGTGTACCTTGCAAGCAGTAATACACCCCAGCATCCTCAGGTTCCACCCTGCTGATTCTCAGTGTGAAATCTGTCCCTGTCCCAATGCCACTGAACCTGTCTGGGACCCCAGTGAACTGGTTGGAAACCTGATATAGTAGGCCCTGTGGAGCCTGGCCTGGCTTGTGCATAACCCAGTTCAAATAGGTGTCTCCATCATTGTGTAGGAGCCTCTGACTGGACCTGCAGGAGATGGAGACTGACTGTCCAGGAGTGACGGGCTCGATGAGAGGAATCTGGGTCATCACAATATCCTCACTGGTTTCTATAAAAATCACAGAGGAATTCAAGGTTATGTAGAAACTTTAAGACATATTTTCCCAGTTTTTGTACATTTCAGACTAAATTAATTTTTGTTTTTGATTTATACACTAAATCTATTTATATACATAAAGAACTCCAATTGAGTAAGCTCTAACAGCCTCCCTAGTATTCCCTTCAACATCCCCCTCATATGGTGTGACAATATGCATCAGAGCCCAGTCCCTTGCTCCTTCTAGAACACTCTCTCATATTGATTGACCTCAGTGGCCTCATCCTGGAGGACAGACCTGCACATCCCTCATGTGGGCAGAGCACACAAGGGTAGAATGGGGGCCCAGGGCTCCCCTCCCTCCTCCTTCTCCCTCCTCATCCCCTCTGTCCTCATCTGGGACCCAGAGCAGCAACAGCCCCAGGAACTGAGCAGGGAGCCTCATTTTGAGAAGCTGAGCTGAGGAGTCCTGGTGAGTCAAGGGCAGGTTAGAGCTGAGCTTTTATATCAGCCTTGCAGTAAGGTCCTCCCTAGGGAGCAGCATGCAAATGCCCTGGTGAGTCCTGGGAGGGGAGAATGAGGGAGGGGACTGCCTTGTGAGCCAGGGATGTCAGATATCTTCTACAGTTGGAGGAATTAGAGCACAGACATAGCCCTGGGTGCCTGTGGTGTGGGCAGGAGGCCTCATCATGGAAGCCTCACTCTGTGAGTGGTCATGGGGCCCAGGGCCTGGCCTCCTAAGATAGCACAAATGCACAGATAGGGAGGTGGCCTGCAGTTCAGCCTCTGTGAGGAAATTACCATCCTGCTGTCTTCCTCTCAACTGAGAAGAGAAGGTGACAAGTGCCACTTCACAAGTGTTGATGTTTGAAATTTCTTCCAGCCACAGCATGCAGTTGAAGAAGTT